CTTATTGATGTCGACATTACGAATATTATTGGAAATGATGTTTTCGCTCTTTATATCTGGAATGTCCTGAGTTCAGAGAAGCTGTTGACATCTGATGCCTCTATGTTTCTCAAAATAGTCATAATGGAGTAAGAATTTTCCGTCCCAACATCATTAGGTGTACATGGTGTTTCCTATTGGATCAAATAGGGAATAGAGAGAGGAAAAAGAAGAGAACCCATGAAACAGTCTGGGTAATAGATTCGTTAAAATGCTCAAGATTTATGAGTTGGAAGTTACCGAAACGGAAGTGGATCTGGGTACATCTAAACAAAAGTTGACAGGCACACCGGGATTATATTTTGTCCAAACCAAAAGCATTTATTGGTCATTTGTAGAAACTAGGACTTTCAGCCTTATATAGAATGATCATTGCTCATTGTATTTAGTAGATAGTAGATACTTTTGTGAAGAAAAGATCGCTGATAATACTCGATTATATAATGAACTGATACGCAAGCGCAATGCAAACTATATTCTTTAAAAATAAAATTGCCAAGGATGATACCCAAGTTCGTATGTTATTGAAGCAAAACCGCTATGAGTGAATCAGAAATATAGGTATGTGGAAATCGACCGAGAAGAAGTAATGCGGAAGTTAAAGTTGTGTTATTACCACGAAAGATTCTAAGCTGAAATTATTTGGTTAAACAATCTCTTTTATTTGAAGTGCGTCCAGCTTTCCCAATGAAGAAGTCCTAAAGCAAATAATGACGCCAATATTGGTCTCCCATTAGCCTTCTCATAGACTCGTAAGAAGTCCATCGGCACAATAACCACTTCTACTTTTTTCATTTGTGATTATTCCATACAAGCCACAAATATGTATGTATCCCAGAAATCAAAATCTCTATTTGTAATCACCACATTTGACGTTAGTACTGACCGATAAGGGAAGGATTTCCGGCACCAGTAGGGTATCTTTAGAAACAGTTTTCAAGCCTGTACAATTCATGCAAACCAGATGATGTAAAACTAGGTTTTTGTCAGATGCTGACAACGGAAAATATGTTCATGTGAGTTTGATAAAAAAATTCATGCACAAGTGAGTAAAAGCCTTACGAAACTCCAAAAAGGGCGGTGTGAATGTGTAGGTGCAGCACAACCAATAAAACAGTACACACGTATTAAAACCAATGCAACAAATTTTATCGTGTAAGTGATATTGATTTACAACTGTGCATCGATAGACTTTTTTGTTAGCAGTAAATTACTTTTGCTGCTTACCGCACATAATTCATTTCACTACCTTTGTGTTTGTACCTAACAGTTGATCTGCGGTGCATTTCAATCCACTGGTTGGCCTGCGATTTTATCATGTATGGGGAACTGGTTCAGTAAATCCAGGTAAGTTTCTCGTTTTTCAGTTTTTTTTCTCCGTCACTCAATGATTAAACCAATCTCACTATAGTTCTATCAGATGCATACGCACTCAAAGTAGAACTGGGTTATCGATCAGTTCATGTGCATTTCTGCTCTCGATTTCTTATCTATCTGCCTCCCTGTGAGTCGACGTGTAAATGTGCATGAAGAACCACTTCAATCAATGTCGACAGGCACGGACAAATTGGTTTAAACATCAAGTGTGCTAATGATTAACCATTAGAAAAAAAATTCAAGTTGATGAGATGCTTTGTACCGGACCGTTTTCCGGTATTCGAGTGACGCGAAGATACGAGAACCAAGTTTCGTTCCAAATCACACGAGGTCTGTTATCTACGCTTAAAATGGGAACGAATAATGCAAAATCAAAATAACATATCCCAAATTGTGGGTTTCCAATATACAATCGAGGTGCACAACACAGTTCGTAGTAACCTTCTCAAAGAGATCGCTCAAACCAATACAATGAATGTGCGAGGATAGAGAAATCTATGAGATAGGGATCATCAATCACAATAACTCGATAAGGAAGAGTGAACAATGGTCTGCACGTGGTCTGGCTCAGTCCTACGATACAAACAGAACTAACTGGGACGATAAATGAGAGCAGGATGGTAAAGTGTATGCATATTATTCAACCAAAGTAGACGGTCAAGTAAATATGGAACGGCGTAATATCAAGGTAGTTTACGGGTTTGACAGACAGTCATACAAACTCCGGGCGATATGAAGATCGACAGATGTGTATGGTATGGTTTGGGGAAAAAATCAATGAATACCGAGGGACACGACGAATGAGATGCACACATGACCGGAGGAGGAGAAAAAGGAATCAACTATTTATTCAGTATAAAAACTGAAAAATGTGCTAACCACAAAGTAGTCAAAAGGGGGTCGCAGATAACGTGGAACGTGATGTTCAGGAAAGTACATGGACAACCAAGCGTGTCGTTGTCATCGGTGTGCTTTATATTCTGTAATTCGAGGTTCGAACCCCGACACCGACACCAACGTTTGGTGGCAGGCAGCTTTGCGGTCGTACGGTTCAATATCACGTTATGTGATTCACCACTCCTTATCCCCAGGGACTATATTGCTGGCTTCAATCACTGAACAGTAGTTCTACGGGACTATGGAGTTCACCCCATCTGCTGTTGATCACGCAAGGTGTGTTTAATAATACAATGTGCGGAATATCTCAAAGTGAATGGTTGAAAGGTCAATTATTTCCCAAGAAGTTCGGAAAGCCCACGAAATCCACCGACCAGCACTCACTCTCTGAGATGACTACAATGATATTATATCATACAACTATCATATATATATATATATATATATATATATATATCATACAAATATAGCACATTTGTTCATAAAGCTTATTGTTCAGCAGCAAGAAGTATTTATCAAGCAGTATCCCAATAACAAGTTGGCTGGGTTCGCAAAATTGATATTTTCTTTGACGATTTTTGGTTTCCTTCATTTAGCATACGACACTCAACAGTCTCATTTATGATCACCCCATTCAACGAATATGGTAAAAAACTGTTTTGTCACAACCCGATAGCGACCAAATAAATAAAAATGGATGCCTTCCAGGCGTGAACATTTGATCGAAAAGAAAACTTGTGGTCATTTTTGGACACCGATTTTGAGTTGAGTTTGAGACTGAAATAAATAAATAAAAGCCACGGTGAACGGGAGGATTTTAACGATGGAAAATGAAAACTTACTGATTAAAATTATTATACTAATTGTCAGCAAAGCAGCACGATTGATACAGTTCATAAAAAGAAGAGTTCAGATTTCTAAGTGATCTATCTCATTCACGAGTTCCTGCCCACTTCCAGTTGTATTTTAAGATTTGCTTTTGTGACAACCCAGATAATAATGCTGTAATTTAACAAAATTTTTGGCTGTCAACTACTTTATCTGCAAACATTTTACAGATCATTCTAGGAAAGGGGATTGTAATCAAATAAAGACTGCCCGTGAAAAATCACAAAAGGTAAAATGTATGGTATCAAAGTTCACACTACAACACACACAAAGAAAGTTTAGTCTTTATGTGGGAGTTCATCCTACTTTTTCAGGTTATGGTTTAAGCAAATATTAACTATTTTCGAAATATTTCATTCATATTTTTAGTTTCCTTGAATGCTTCCGTGTATTTGGTTTCACAAACTGACAAAGAACTAACCGCGCTCCCTAAGTGGAATGAGTTTGAAGACATTAAGTGAATGCTTTTAGAAATTTCAAGACGTCAAGTTGAAACTATTCTCAATCACGCCTATACGCGTGATTGATTTTGATGATTAGCCTGAGGATAAGGCCCGTGCTACTTTGCTTGTCTATACAATGACCCGCTTCACGTAGATGGATAATAATATGCAATAGATATTTTCATTCCAATAAGTATTTGAATTACGAAATTTGCAGTTATTCTAGTGTCTAAATGATAAATTTGAAAAAAAACTGATAACTCCTTTTTGGGTGGCACAATGCTGTTCGGTGATTTAAAGGATGAGTCCACAAGAGCTCCGATCACTCTAAAAATGTTACCTCCTTCTGTATACAGGAACCGGTTAAGTTAGGACTCAACTAAATCTAACTGAGAAGGCGAGGTGGCTTTTTCAGATTTTTCAGTCCTATCCATTCTCATCGGTGACGTGCATCCGTCTAATCAACTTCAATTTGATTTTCGTGCCTCGAAGACAGAAAACAATCAAAAGCAAGCCAAAATCACGGAGCAGCTATGCAATCTACTTCAGTTTGTCAGTGTGACAGTAAAACGCTAGCTACGTCTACGCTCTAGCTAGTCTTGTTTGGGTCAAGGTGCGAGGGTTATCATGTGCCGAATCACAAAATTTACATTCAGTTCACAACTGCATGAAAGTACATTTTAGGTACTTTGGTTTCAAATTTCCTTTGATACACGTAGACGGAGAATTTCTCTATGGAAGAGTAAAATAACCTACTGCCAATCTCCTTGATTTTATCCATCTGTGGTGCAAAATGTTGTTAGTTTCTATAAATAATAATATTTATTTCATATCAACCTAGGAAAACTAATTTTCCCCAACATATTGAAGGGAACGATTTTCCTAATCTTGTGGCATAAGCTTCTCATAAAGATCGTAATTGCAACTGATAGATCTGAAGAAAACCAGTGCAGATAAAAGCACAATTGGACCATCTACCAAAAGGATAACGGACTGTTGGTTGCTCGGGTCTCAGCAATCGTTCGATCCCCTTAAATGAGTTCAGCTACTTTATGGAACCATTCACCTGAAATTTGTATGTGTACTTTTGGAATATTCATTTATTCTTTTTCCTATTTTCTATACAAAGTGATGCAGTGTAAAATGTTTTTCAACTGATGAGCCCGTAAAGATAAGGTTGTTCGTTAAAATGCGGTTTTATTTACCACGTGCTGCTGGTACATTCCTGGAATTAAGAATTGTTCCTGATGGAAAATTTCTTGGTTACCGGATGTAAATTTACCTCAAATAAAAGATGTAATTTGCCTTGACAATAAATATTCCATGCTTTTTCTTGGTCTCAGACGGGGATTTCTTATGGGAATTTGGTACTCACACGGTAGTTTTGGAAACATGCTTGGCTCCCTGATTGCTGGCGTATTTGTAAATGACGCTTGGGGCTGGTCTTTTATCGTACCCGGATTGCTGATTCTCGGCATGGGTTTACTGACATTCTTGTTCCTTGTTCCATGTGAGTTGCTGCTTCAAATTTATTAATCTTTCAGTATAAGATTAAAATATTGAACCTTTTGGTTGTAGAATAATTTGATCTGGATTTTCCGTCACGTACCCCTGATACTAACTTGTGAGGGCCAGCATGTAATCATCATAAATAATCATTATTGGTTTTATGAGCAAAACACCTTAAAGCTGTTTAATACAACTTCCACACGGAGCTGAATAATCACCTTGAACTTGGTTTTACCAATCAAGGAGTTATCTTTAAAGGTATAACCTCTGAGTTTGAAATAGAAAGGAAAATCAGTCTAATAAGTTCACTTGTTTCGGTTTGTCTGACACCCCAGCGTGATCTGGTCACTTTAAAACATGTAGCATCAGCAAAATCACAAACACTTGTTTTACATATCTTCAAGCGTACAGCACATAGGAATCACAAAGTGAAAACAACTGAAATCTGAATACTAGCCACAGCTGCCTGATGACCAATTGGATGGCACTACTGGTGACCAGGTTCACTTTTGCTTTAATCACCTGTCAATAAAGCTTACTATAAAGAAGTAGTGATATAGACTTGTAAGTGCATGAAATTACTGGTCGATAATCGTTACCGTGCCAACAAGCTACAAAACTGAACGCTGATCAGATAGACAATGCCAAAAGAAACCCCTAGTATTGTTTGTCACAAAAATGCTAAACTAGGTTCATATTTACATCAAAAACAACGCTTGGGGAATATGAACAAGTCATCGATAAATATTTTTAGGATTTGAAAATATGAAGCGGTGGAAAGTTTTGATCCGGAAATACCAGTTATCTTGGACCCGGGTTTTGAAGAACAACTGACAAAACTGTAATCAGGAGTGGCTAGTAGAAATAGGACTACCGGAAAATAGGGTGCGTGGGCAATAATCAACAGCGAAAAGTAGTATGAGAACTAATATCTATGTCAATTTAATGTTCACCGAAAGAATGATATATCGGAGACATGAGTTTGGAAGTTTTCAGAGTCATAACAGACAGAGAGCACCACAAAATTTATTCCTTCCGAGAAATTGCTGATTAGCTTTCTGTGTCCCTCGAACGAACCAGAACTTTAATAATTCCCTTTCGGCTCCATGAGAAAAACTTATCAGACAATTTAAGTATACCAGATACCCTGGAAAGAAGATGAAATACTGACGTATAAGTCCATCTACAAAACCTATGATTTCGTAAGGAATAAACTGTCAGTTGTTTCTACCACTTTCATTTTTAGCGTTAATAATATCATCAGTGGGAGCGATGTGAATAAGAAAATTATCAAGCTGAACAGTTCAACCCATTTTTGACTCGCCCGTCTGGTTAAATAGAATGAGTCCTTCAGTATCACTACTAACGGGCTTGGCAATCATCGTGCCCATAAATCCTCAGTGATTGTCTAATTTCATTTGACCGTTTTGCTATTCAGCATTGCTGTGTTGCACAGCTTTCGGATGTTTATAATGAGTAAAACTGTCTGTTTTCTTTCATGGGCACATTACTCTGTGCTTTAACTGATCCCATAGTAATGGATATACAGACTGGCTGAAACAGTGAAACGAAATGAGCGGTTTTAGTTGGGACACTGTAAATCAGATGTTCTTTCGTGATCAGCGATCTATTTTTTAATCCTGTTGGGTATGGCTTTGCTCAAACCTCTACTGGCCACATTATCATTAGCACTCAACTAATACAAGGTCATTTGAACTGTATTGGTCTTTAAGGCAGACGTTCTATCCATCACATTCGGTCGCGTCATACCGACATTGAGAATGTACCAGATTAGTTTGCTTGGTGGCTGAGGTTGGCCCACTATTTTATTATAGTCATTTGAACTTCTTGGGATTACGATAAAAACCCAGAAATATTCTTTCAAACAAACCGGTTTGACGCAACTTTTTAATTCCCCAGACGATACTCCGAGGATGCTAAGAGCTCCCTCATGGTGGGAGACTGTATCATATCAGTGTCCTCTTGCACGCCATTTCCGAAAATGATGCTCATGACAACACTAGCTTTGTATCACTAGTAGATGACGATATCTACTTCCCTATTCAAAAGTCAAAAATCAAATATGTCTACTTCATAAAGGCGCACGAGTCCCTGAACTGAAACTACGTCTAACGGGCTGCGGAATTCACCCCCGATAAACACACCTATGTTTGTGTAATGACTAGAGGCTCCACCTTCCACCCAAAAAAGAAAAAGAAACAGTGGATAAAACTGGAACATTCCTTGTAATAAACACCATCAAAACTGTACTATCTTCATAAAAATGGGTTACTTGTTCATCCCTTGTCTATATTACCCATATACATCTCAAGAATTGCGAGTAGCTTTCTTTTCGATCAGGATAGAGAACGATGACAATATAGCTAAAGTAAAATGTGAACCGAGTGAGATTGCTGTCGATTTGGACAGACTTTTATTATTATGAGTTATGCATTGATCTGATAGTTTGACCATAAAATGTTTCTTCCATATTGACATCATCGTCAGGCAGTTTATCTTTGAGGCAAACTGAAGTGAATGAGCAGGTTCCGTGTGTTACTAACAAAAGAGCTTCTTTTTGTTAACAACAGGAAATGAGAAAAACTCAACTAAGAAAAATAAGCTAGGTAGACGGAAGTCGCAAAATGTCATTGTATATCGAGATCATAATACACCTCAGTATATTAGAAATTCTCAATATGGAATGAAAAACACAAACATGAGAAGTCAACTAACCGAAACTGGAAAAAGTATGTGATATAACAAAATAGGGAAGCAACAAAATACAGCAAGCAATCGAGAAATTTGCAATCCTCAACAAAAAGTTGAAAGCACGTCAAATTCTATATGTTAAAGATAAAGGGCATCTATTTATGTCGATCGGTGATGAGGTGTAGGCACTTTTGGATATAACATGTTTCAAGAGAAACGTTTCCTTAATTTGATATTGACCTTCTTTGTACCGTTGGTCGCACATTTAGATGGTCGACACATTTATCACTTTTCAATTATTTGCGGTTACCATTTGCCATTTAACGATCAGATCCCGAAGAGCTCGGTCTTTTTAAACCAGACGAGCGTGAAAAACTTGAGGTAAGTTATCTAAAACAAATAATTTGAGTGTGATCATTTCTGCAAACATGGAATGTGGTTATTCTACAATCGTGTAACTAACTACAATTCACATTATAAATCCACGAAAGGAATTATCGGTATTTTTTTCGGAAGCCATTTATTTGGATATATGTGAAAACAAAATAATATGGAGAGTTGAAAAGGGAATGCTGCATGCAGGCAATTTGAGAAGATAATGGTCGGAGAAAACTGGATACGCCATTTCTAACACAGGAATTCGAGTGCTATGGCTAATAGATGTACTTTAAATCTACATGGAAGTAGTTCATAACCCGTGCTATCGTCAGAGAGATAGGCTACTATGAATTCATCCATAGTGTTCCCTCTCGTCTTTATGCTCTCATTTCTATGACTAAACTAGAAAGAGACACTATTTGGAACGGTAAACCAATGTGATCACCTCCACAGATCCGTGGATCATATGTTTATTAAAATCGGTAAACAAGTCAAGTAATAGGACGTCACTAAATAATTCAGCACTGTGTACCTGGTGATCAAGGTTCAAATCGAAATGGAAAAGGAATAGTTAGTTCCTACTGATTTTAGGGTAGGGACATCAATCTAACAAAAATGCTGATGGTTTATGTCACAGAGAAGTGTATCTAAAAGCCACCTGAAAAGATCGGTGCACTAAGATGCACATTTTTGTTCTCCTTGCCTGCAAGCGCAAGTTGATACGCTTATTATGTTGTTTATTGGGTGTCAGAAAAGTCAAGAGTTGAAAATTACGATAACATCATACATGAATAAGTATTCTGAGAAATATTTCAAAAGAAAAGAGTCCTCCATAGTCATATCTACAATGATCAGAGTCATCTTATGCTCACTCATCAATGTTTATGCGTGGTGGTTACAGCTTGAATAACATGTAATCATGAGGTTGAAAGCTTATTTCTTTATCCGCAATGAATCTTCATCCGAAGTTACACTGTGATGTATTAAACAGTGATAAATGTACCACTAGTGACCTGTGTGAGACATACCTAAAAGATGTACACACATATATATACATGCATCTTAAGCACACTAATTAACATGATTATAGAATTTCGTTTTGGGGATTGTATTCTATGGAAGTGAAGTGAAAATTAGAAATGGGTAAAGATGTCTGCTCGACTAAAGAAGACTAGAATTGAATCGAACATGATCCATTGGCGTGCAAACCAACATAATATGAATATATAAAAGTGTCCAAACAGTTAATAAACAGCAAAGACATTTGAGTTGGACAATCAATATAAACAATTCTGAATACAACTGTTTGATATCTATTAACTCGTATCCGTGATTATGCTTTTGTTGGCATTATTGAATATTTTGTTGTACGTTTCCATTAACTCTGAGAAAAATAAGAGCATACCCGTTCACTGAGGATAATGTCAAGAAATACGAAGATCTATTCAGGGTTTCAACTTGGACAATGAACTGTTCGAAAATCAAAAATGAACACCGGTGTTAATTTGGTTTAGTGTCATGCAGGTTTCTCAATCTCTTCATCATTACCACAAACACAACCAACACCAACGGTTTGACTTATATGATACTATATTTTTGCATCCAGATATGAAGCTTGCATTTTAGATCTAAACTTAGATAAAAAGAAATATGAAAATCTCTAATTGAATTGTCTTATCTCTCTCCTGCTCAAAACCCACGTACATGCACATGTGATTTCGTCCATTAGTCTGATGATCCTGACACTGACAGTCAACATTCAACCTCAAAAGACGAACTGATAAACGACTCGGTTGTGATGACGACATCCGCTGTCACGCTTCTAAACGCATTGTACATCCCGGTAAGCACTTGAGGAGATATACCTTCCATTACCAATTCTTATGAAACCATGCTGTTTAAATAAAATGCATTTACCTTCTCGTTGTCCAAGATTTAGTTTGATCTCATTTCTCGCCGTTTTTTGCTGGACCTTCAACTCGTCTTTTGATTTGTTTTTACTTCAGCCAATTGGTCTACTTTCCTAGCCCCCGGAAACCGTGATTACCAGGTTGGAGAGACTCTACTTAAATCTTAGTACATTGAGTTTATTTGCGATGCTAAAATCTCCGTAAATCAATGTTAACAACCATATGAGCCTGGATTAGGAAATAGCATTGTGATTCGTGTTAACAACATTGTTTATTTGTTTTATTCAGCCTAGTGTAAATTCATTGGATTCATTGGCTCTACTCTACTCTCTAATTGCTTTATTCCATTCAGGGTGTGACGGAATATTCACTTTGTCTGTTCTGCACAAAACTGGTTTCCTACACATTCTTGTTCTGGTTACCTAGCTACATTCGGGACACGATCGGTCTAACTGCCTCTAATTCGGCCTATTTGTCGACCGTGTTCGATATGGGAGGCATCGTGGGTGGAATACTGGCCGGTCATCTGTCAGACATAGTTTCATCCAGTTCGACAGTCTGCTCAGTTCTTCTGGCTTTAGGTGTGCCCTCAGTGAGTGACTTGTAATTCACATTTTCTTTTCTTTTCTACCGTTATTTTGTTCCGGTTTTGATGGAAAACAGAGTCCACACTAAATGGGACAAATTTTCGCGTAACGTTAAGTAGTGCTGACAATAAAAAGGATCTCTGTGTGATGGCCAACGAATAGCTGGTGAAAGCGGTGTCGACCTCATTGGAATTCCGCCGCGATGCTTACTGTTTTGGTGACCACGCTGAAAGACTTCTAGTTTGGGGTCGAAACCCTAATCTTGCAACTTCACACACAAAATTCCATCACAAAAGAAGTACATTAGCATGTAAGAAATTAATAACACCCCCAACGAGTGAAACCGAAAGAGTAATACAGTACACCCAAGGTAAACCAAATGTTTGCACGAAAATTTGCAAATGAGAGAAAAGAAAGACCAAATTTAGACAAGGCAACGTGAATTCAGTTATTTTCATCCCTAGAATGACAAGCAAGAACAAAGGGGAACAAAAGTAGGTAGCAGTGCCTGAGCCAAACTAACACACCAACCAGACCAATTACAAAACGGGAAAGAATAGAGTAAAAAGCTTTATGAACATCCAAGATGCCTGAACAGAATACAGGGATATCAGTCCTACAGGTAAACAGCCCGCTCAATATTACCCACAGGGGTCAGAGCGTATGCTGCGTTCACAGTGTGGCAAGAAATTAATCCTCTTTTTTCAGGTTATTAAATGACAATTGTTATAGGTAGGGACTTCGACACTGATTTGCATGGGTTCACAAAGTGACTCGAAGCTGTCAGTGTAAGATTATAAAAATTATTGTCCTGTGGAATATAAGCAGATTGGCGTTCGTATTCTTGTTACACAAACTTTGAACCATAGCTACCTAGTTAGTTGATTTATATTTGTTGAAGGCTGGTATTCTCCAAAATTTAACCAAGAAGTGCGGTGCCTACACTGGAGTATTAGGTTATAAGCTTGACTAAAAGCAGGTCCTGCCTGACTAATCCATTTAAATTAGGCTTGAACTATAGGCATCTTCAACGGTGACTGAGACAAGGGGACAACAAAACATTTCATTTCACTTAATTTATTATCTTGCACGAGTTCAGGTGTTTACCAGTAAAATCGAATTTGTACAGAATTAATTGTTAATTAATCACTTGAATTTCGATTGTTTGAATATACTTCCGGTGGCATATGTTCGGGTTGAATTGTTTATTTGGATTAGTGAAAATGGTCACAAAAATGTGGGACCTCATTATGTCAAGTCAAATCGAAATCCACTCTCACAGCGAAGTCACGGAGACAGTGCATATGCTACTAGAATATCACAAGGATACAACTCCTTGGGGGAGAATAACCGACTTAGTACAACCAGAAATGGGAGCATAATATTACAGTGAGCGACTACATTCTGATTGGGTTCGTATGTACACTGCATTCATGCCTATTACTGGAAAATCTACCCAAATGAACGCAGTTGTTTTCACCTCAAACACTCACATAAAGTCCTTTATTGTCGCATATGATCTAAAACAGCTTTTTAATGGCTGCGTTGGTAATGTCAAGTTAACATGACTGCTGCTTTATGAAACGTCTCACCAAATCGTTTCCCTTCTGATTGATTATCAATTCTGTTTTAACCTCGTTCATGATTTCTGCTTAGATGCTCAATAAATTTCAATCATGTGAAACCATACAGCTTTGCATTTTCATCCTACAAATAGTTTAACAGAGTAACATATAGAACAATCGCGATTTGAGTCATCTAACTCTGAAAAATCAGGTTGCAAATACCAGTTTAATTGTATCTTTAACTGAACTAGGTAAGTAATTGCAACATATTACTGGGCGCCTATCATCTACTTGATGAAATAAAGCTGACGGTTGAATCTATAAAAGAGCAAATATGATTTATTGACCAACCTGACCATTGCTTCGTTGCCTTTAGCAAATACAGTGAATCGAATTGAGCAAGCATTCCTTTAGGTGGTGGGTGTGTAGATAAATATAGAAAAATATTAGTCTTCGGTCGCTATGTCCTAGTCCATTTTCCAATTAGAACCTATTTAATTCGGTATCATGGTTTATGCATTATACTGCGACGCGTGAGGTGAGGTAGAATAAGTTAAAATATATGATAAAGAATAAAATAATTTAAGGTCATTATTTTGCAGAGTTTTGCCAATTGCGTTTTCTAAGACCTAACCCCGAGTAATAGATGCAAGGCAAGTAAAGTGAACTCACAGGTACATTTATATTCAGAATATTGGCTAATTGCTCAAATGTAAAGCATCAGCGTCTTTAGGAATTACTTCATGTTTATTATCGGATTTTTTATGGAAAACTTTAAATCCGAGACAAAAATTACCGTGAGCAACAGGTGTAGATTTTTCAAAGTAGAATATTTTTTTGTATTCGATTTGATCTGATATTACTTAGTTGTTGAGTGATATAATCGAACTTCTTGTGTCTTTCGTCCTCGTTCAACTTCTCTGTGGTCTAAAGATCTATGCGTGCTACAAATTTGGAACGTTCTCCCTTACACTATGTGTTGGTGAGTTACTTTTTCTTTGGGGTAGGTGAGTTAATGATTGGCCCGTTGCGATTTTATTGGTAACTAACATATTTGTTGTGCAGTTCAATCACTCATTGTTGATGTACAACTGCAACAATACGAATAATTTTCGAGGTCTATTCAATTTATTATTTTTCATTTACTTTGATAAACCTTAGTCCGATTATTCATCATAAACAAACCGATATGCTTGTATGCAAATAGATTGATTTAATAGAGTGAACGAGTCGTTGGGGGACGGGACGTTAAAGCAAGAGACCGATGTTCGTTGTACAATAAAATCAGACATTGTTGTCAATTCAAGTCAGGAGTGCCCTTCATTCATCCAATGTGGACAGAATTTTCAGTAAAAACAATGTTATCGCTTTTGTTTTGGTATACGCGCTATTGAAAAATGAGCTTAAAGATATGACAAATAGTTAATGAGATGCTAATGAATAGGACATTTAGAACGCGTAAAAAAATTAAAAAACTTCAACTTGAAAACTCACATTAGACTGTGTACAAGTTCTTTTGATATTCGCTCCCTATAAACCAACAAACGTGAAAGGTAAGGTACAACGAACTTGTGAAAAGTAGTGGTACGAGTATATAAAAGTTTAAATTTATTGCGGGAGATAGAAGTTGAAATGGAGCCACACAGGACTGTGTGTGAGGGATGTGACTCATCGGACAAAATGGAGTCACACAGACGGTCACACGCATTCATGTGTTGGTTGACAATGGAATCAACCAGCTCCTCATAAGATACAGCTCCATATCTAGAGATGTTTTTCAGAGAGCATCTAATTATTATGAAATCCTTAGACAGTAGACCGGGAAAGATAACGTGAGAGCAGTAGCTCCAATGTCATAAAACGCATGAGAAAATAAATTT